CCACCGAACTATGTACATTTTCAGTTATTTATTCTATCGTTGCGTTAAAAAATAAAAAAACAACTTCAATATATTTATGATTTTGGTCAAAATATCACATCCAAACTCAGATCTAACTCAGTCAACTAAAAACGGGCATTAATAGTCCAAATTCACAAAATCCATTCGCTTATCAAACGAAATCCAAATTCACCAAATTTGAACCTAAGCCTCAAGACATCAAAATGGGATTTATCGAGTTTGTTCATAATTATCGGGTCTGCCCACTATTTATTATGAATTTATTGCCATTTAACTCAATAAAATCATATAAATTCATATCTTGCTCGAAAATTACCAAACTCATTTTTATAATTAACTAAAATTGTTGTCTAAGGACATGGAGAAGGAATTTAGTTATTAGACCTCTCGAGGGTTTTGAAACAAAAATTGGAACTCAGAAAGGCTAAGGGAACACTCGGGTAAATCGGACCAGGTCGGGTCTCGAGCGGGTCAACTCGAATCAGCTCGTTGGTCACAGACCAGGTTTGGTTCTGGCCAGAACTTGTTCGAACTAATTCTCGCCGGTGGAGAGGTACTTTTCAGCGTGGAGGAGTTAGAAGGTGGCGAAGTAGAGGGCGCGACCAGTTGAGGTCGCCGCCAGCGTAGAGGACGGCTGGACTGGTTCAGCTGAGCACCATCGGCATTTTGATGGCGGCTGACCGAGCTCGCATGGTGGTTGTTGTTGTTGAGTTCAACGGGAAGCTCGGTTGCCGGAGACGACGTATGGCTATGCTTGCAGCTGCCGGAGTTGGGTGGTCATTTTTTATTGGTTTTCCGGCGACATGACCGAGCTCAGAAGGATGAGCTATGAGTGACGTTGAAGGGACCTACAAGTGACGGCGACAATTGGTTCGCCAGAAAACGTAGCTGCGGGTGAGGGAGATGTACGACGGGTTTACGCTTGCCGACGGAAGCCTGAGCGGCGACGAGTTCACCGGTGGTGGTTTGGTGCTCGCCGGTCGGAAGGTCGCCGAGAAAAGGGGTGGCTGGACGGATTCTTTTCTTTTAGTGGTGGAGGAGTGAAGATGATGAAGGTGAATGAAATGGATAAGGCTAAGTTTTATATTTATAGTATGTGTAGGAACAATGAGGCTTAATTGTAGTTGGGCTTTAATTGGTCTAGTAAAATTACTAACACTCGGGCTTTAACATGGGGCTATGTCTTGGGATTGGTAAATTAAATACTATTCAGTTCAAATAAAATGAATGGCTTGAATTAAAATATCTCAAATATAGTGGGCCGACTTATTGCTATATCTCGATTAAATAATTGGGCCGATTGGTCGGGATACAATGGCTCTATTAAATGGGCCCGAAAATTGGGCTCGTTCAGAAATTAAATAAATTCTTGACTTTTCTAGTACTCGATTAAATTGTAAATCGAGACTTAGACTTAAAATTTTATTTTGTTTTCGAGATAATGTTCCAACATTTCTCCATGGTTTAGACTTAGGGCTTTAATACTCGACTTAATGTAATTAATAAATAAAAGCACTATATAAAGAAACGTGCTATTTATGAAAATAAAGTCGAACTCCATAAATAGTAAAAGTATTCGTGGTGTTACATCACATACTATAATCACTATCAGAAGAACGACGTCGAAGATCACAAGAGAAATCCAATAAACATTATATGTAAACCTATTTCAAAATGAATAAGGATTTTACCTAAAGCATAATACTGACACATATTGTTAAATGGACTCAATTATTCGAAAAATATATACATGTAAATGAAAGAAATCCACTTCCAATTAACTCTAAACCACTCAGTATTATAATATTGTCAAATAAAAGCACCCACAAATCTAAGTGAAAGCCAAAAAAGTGAAAAATTAAATTATCAAGTCTAAAAGTGAAAAATTAGGAATATGAATTTTTCAAGACACATGATGTAGCATGGTAAATACAAAAATAATAAACCCGGGTCTTTCAGAGTAACTGAAAGTTGGTCATTCACGCCATGTCTGGACGATATAGATTATCTTCAAGGAGATTGCTATGACTCGAACATTTGCGCTTGTCATGTCCACTCCGACCACATAAACTACAAGTCCGAGCACTTTGAGATATAACTTTATCTTTACTTGACTTTAGACGTTTGCCAAAACCTTTAGTTCGTATAGGCTCGGGGTCATTTATAAGAATCATCTATTCCTTGCTATTCCTTTTACTCAACCGGTTGCTCATGCAATCTTGTTCTTTAATCTCACAAATTTCGCGTTTCAAATATTGAGCTTTTCTATCAAAAAATTGCTTCGTTCCTCGATCAACGATGCATCATCAATGATCTCTCATGCTAATTGCGTCAACGCCCCACGTCTACCTTGGATAGATTTACCTTCTGCAAAATTAGGTGGCTCATCAGAACTGAAGTTATTTTTTGCAATTTTCGTCCATCTTTGTTTCACGTACTTTTTGGGTACTAGCATAACTTGTTCCACCCTCATCCAACACAACACAGGCCGACATGGATACCCTTCAAACTCAAATTTTTTGCAACTGCACTTTACGAATCCTCAAGAACATCATATGTCAAATGTCGTCGACGTTGAGTAGTCATTTCAATATCGAATCGCCGAACCTCATCAATTCGAGAACAATCAGAACTCGAGACCAATTTGCATATATAGCTGGCACTTTCTTCAAACTCTTTCTGAAATAACAAAAATATTGTTTCCGTATAGATCTTAGCCATTTGTTTTTTCATCACAAACAAGGATTTAATCCTCGACTTTTCGTTAATATCAACATGGGTAGACATCAGTTCTTTATGCCTCTGATACGAAATAGCCCTATTAAAACGAGTGAAAAAATCATTCAACGAGCATTTTCTATCCAGGTAGCTTTTGAAGAATACATGATTACTCTCGACTCTTTGGCTACTAGACATACCGGCAGCGAAAACATCTTTTACGTAAGCTGGAACCCAACGATGACGGATATCATACATATTTGACGACCATTCATTACTGCTCAATTGAGAATCACTCATCAACAAGTTACACCTGCGCTCAAACTCATTGCGACTTTCAGAGTCATTAATAATCCCATTTAAAGATGATAGTGTACCTTATGAAGAATCGGATCGAGCTTTTCATAAAACTTGTACAAAATATGCCAAGTACGATATCGATGCATAGTGTTCGAAAGTACCTCAGCCACAACAACTGATATAGCGACATCTTGATAAGAATAATAACCTGTGGATGTGGTTGGTCAGTCATTGCGTCTACAAATTGATAGAATAACCACACAAAAGATTTTATCTTCTCGTCACTGAGTAATCCACAACCAAACACAGTGGTCTGTCTATGATAATTAACACTAACAAAAGGTGCAAACACCATTCCGTATTTATTCATGTTATATGTGGTATCAAAGACGACTGTATTACTGAACACTGCATATGATTTTCTTGATACACTGTCGTCCCCAAAACACCCTCATTGTCGGTTTCATAAACGTAGTAAAAATTTTCATTCCGCTCCTTTTCCATTTCAAATTGATGAATCAAGGTGTGTGCATCATGTCCACTTAATTCCGCTTTATGTGCCACTTTTGCGTTTCTAATATCCTTCTCTAAACACTTCATCATAGAGGGACCACCAGAATCGATTTCAAGCAATCTAACTTGTTTGCTTGTTGGGATATTTGCCTCTGTGTATTCTTGAACGAGCGCCCTTTCTCTGGCTGACCCACCTCGATGTGAGCTTAACATGTGCACCTTCCAGGAGTAGCGAAGAGAATGATTATGTATCTCTACAAAATGCTTCACCACCCAAATTTCATTTTTTTTTTCGCACACTCATTCGAGCAGGACAATTACAACGAGACTCGCCCCTTTGCGTTCCTTAGTTTTTGTCACTGCAAATTTGATATTATTTCGGTACGACATATTTGTCTCCCTTCTTTAGAGCAAAATACCAATTTTCCCACAGTTGTGCCAGTTTTTATATCTTTCTCACTGTTTTGAATCTTAGTGCTGAAGCCTGCATTTTTAGCATATTCATTATAGAAACAAAATGCCTCCTCCGCTGATTGAAATTCTTGTCCGCTTGTGGGCATTACTGTTGAATCTACTTGTGGTATGAATGTTTCGTCTTGATCGGTCGCCATCCTACGTAAAACAAATATACGAAATGTTAGAATACCAATAGGAAAACTAGAATCATGACAAGAGAAGGAAAAAAAAAAAACAAAAAAAAATCCTTCGAACAATTTTAAAAATAAAAAAGTTCTTGCTCATAATTGCAGGAATTATATAAACTCAGCCGCAGAAGAAATTTTGGTTTTTTTTTTCTTTTATCATCAAAGAATTTTGATTACACACAAGCCCAACATATCTAATTATTAATTAAATTTTGATAAAATATAAATTATAACTAAGCTCTAGGTTGTAGGTCAAAAAAGAACGACAAAAAATTTATACTTAGAACTTACTGCAATTTCGTTTCTCCTTCACTTAATTGCTGTTAAGCCTACTATTTTATTTCACCTTCTCGTATAAGTTAAGAAGAACGCTATTTTGCTTCCCTTTCTCGTAGAAGTATCAAATAAGAACGAGAGTGGTGGACTGTTCGTCTTTTTTCATAGATTATATTTACCAAAAATTATAGATTAAATAAAAAAAAAACACATAAGTCCTATTTTAAGTGCCACGTTATTGCCACATAAGCAAATGGATCTAAACAAAACCATCGAAGCAAGTAAAAAAAATATAGTTATAAAATTTGAGTAGTGAATTGCAATCCATGCCAAGAAATTATCAAGATTTTTCTTCATTTTATCGACTCAAACAATAGACGAAACCACTGTGAAAGTCCTCCTCTCCCCACCACCTTCTTCTACCCAGTGGCCAGTACTCTTTCTTCTTGCACACCAACTCATAAAAGCTTACAATTCAATCAAGTTTACTCGACATCTAGGGCTGACTTCAAGCATAAATCGCGTCACATGACTGTGATGGCGCCACCTGCTCCGAATGAGGTTTGTAGAACTCGTCATCTATCGATAAGCTCAAACGCCTGCAAGTTTCGTTTGTGTGTGGATTTGCAAGCACCACACACACACCTGCGTTTTTGTGTGCGACTTATTGGGTGTATTTGACCGGAAAAGGAGTTGCAATCTATCGAATTGATTTTGTTGCGTTTCTGAGTTTGTGTGCGTCCGCGATCAGGCGAATGGGTTTATCTAAATGGTTTTTGATGTTTAAGGGTTTTTTCATTTTTGGCAGCAAGAGGATGAGGACATGCTGGTCCCGCGATCGGATTTGGTGGAAGGGCCTCAAACCGCTGAAGGTATCTCGATTGCTTTTGCTGTAAATTTCCGCTCAACTATCTTGGATCAATTTACGTTGTTAAAAGGGATTTTGGCTACTCCGTCCTTAAAAGTGCAAGAATTGGGAACCTTTGAGATGGCTCTTTAGGAAAAAAAAAAAAATTGTTAAATGTTTTTCCTGTTCTTTTCTGGATACCATGGCCTTGTTATTGGAAAACAAGTTATGTTCTGTGTGATGTACCTCACTTAACAGAAAAGGCAGAAGAAATCAATGAGTTACCAGTTGTCGAATCATCAGATAGTAGTCATTAGTTGTTTGTCTGCTGTGCATATTTTTAGAGTCTCTTATTGCTGAAACCCAGACTTTGCATTCTCCCCTTTTTGCAGTAATAATTCATATCTCATATCTTGAGATGAGAATATAATTAGGAACTAAATACTTTCTGAATCATACTATCTTGCTATAAATCTACGTGCGACCAATCATGGATAACACTGGTTTTCTTTACTTTTATCTCCATATGTTCCATATTATTTTCATCTGTTTGTTGTACCAATAGAAGCAGCAGAAAGTACTGCAGAGAATCAGCCAGCAGAGGATCCTCGTACGACCAAGTTTTGTTGGAGAATTGAAAATTTTTCTAGACTGAACACGAAGAAGCTCTACTCTGAAATATTTGAACTCTGTGAATATAAATGGTAATTTTGAGTTTGATACAAGTTGGGAGCATCAATTTATTGTTGCACACTTTGATAACAATTGTAATAATTGCAAAAACATTTCCATTAAATGCATGTCAGGCGGATTCTTATATTTCCAAAGGGGAATAACGTTGAACATCTATCCATGTATTTGGATGTGGCTGATTCAGCGTCTTTGCCTAATGGATGGAGTAGATATGCCCACTTTAGTTTGGCTGTTGTTAATCAAGTTCAAGTCAAGTATTCAGTCAGAAAAGGTACTTTAACTCCTTTATAGTTTCAATTTCCAGCTGATTTCACTGTTTAATTCTGGATTCATACTAAACCCTTATATGAGGCAGTGTTATTAATTGCGGATGGCGGTACATGGCGTTTTGCCAAAATTCCGCCATGGCGGCTGCCGTGGCGGTCTATGGCGCCGCCATGACCGCCATCATTCACAAATTTTGCATGGGGTATTGTCAAAAATCCGCCACGCCATACCGCCATGGCGCTGCCATGGCCGCCATTTGGTAACACTGATATGAGGTGGAATGTATGAATTTATATGGGGTATTTTTCTTGTATCTTTTAAGCACTTTAAGGTGGAGACACTGTTCTCAATGCCTATGCAGATGGTTGTGCAGATGTAAAATAAAGATTCGAGTAATAAAACGATAATCTTTTTTTGTTTCCCGGTCTGCTTTTATTGTATGTTGGATGTCCAGTTTTATTGAGCCATGTCATATCTTAATTGCAGAAACACAACATCAATTCAATGCCCGAGAAAATGATTGGGGGTTTACATCCTTTATGCCACTTGCTGACCTTTATGATTCAAGCAGAGGTTATCTTGTCAATGACACCTGCATAATTGAAGCTGAGGTTGCAATCTTTAGAGCTATGGATCCATGGCTATACAATTCAAAGAAAGAAACTGGTTTTGTGGGACTAAAAAACCAAGGGGCTACGTGTTATATGAATTCTCTTCTCCAGACGCTATATCATATTCCTTATTTTAGGAAGGTCGGGATTTCCAGCAGCACTATGCAAAATATAAGAGTTTGTTTTTGTGTGTGTACTTATATATATATATATATATATATATATATATATATATG